AGTGTGACTTTGCTTTTGGGCAGAAAAGGTAAAAGTAGAGACTACTCAAGATAAAAAAGTCTACCGCAACTCCTCTTCTCTCCCTCCTCTCCTGACACAGCTGGACAAACTACTTGTATACTTACCTCTTAACCTTGAGCCTGAAGAGACAACTCCGGATTTAATAGGAATTAGAGCTCAGATTTCAGGAACACTTGTTTCTTGTTTGATCTATGCTCTCCCTTATTTCTTACTCTGTCTTGTTCCTGCTTCTCCTCTTCCCTCTCCTGTTTATCCTCGCTTCCTTATTGGTCTTCCTGCTGCTCAGTTTGCTCTTACTTTTTGTATGTGTACTTTCATACTTCCTTTTCTGGTTTCCCATAGTTATGCTTTTTCTTGTCACTGCCCTACTGTTGCTGAGGTTACTCATGTTTCTCTCTATCCTTCTCTCCCCTCCCCTTATACTTGTAATCAGTGACCTGCTTTTGTGACCCACACGGCCCAGTGCAGGAAGCAGTAATGCTGTGCATTGGGATGTTTTACTTTGGGACAGAGGGCTACAAAACAAAACCATGGTCAGTAAAATAAAATCACTAAATCCACGAAGGGGAAGCAGATTGCGGAATTATTACTCTGAAAGCACGAACAACTGCTCCAGTTGTCTTTTGACTCTAGTGAATAAACATGGCAAAGGCTTAAACATTCCCCACCTACCCCAGGGGTGACCTTTAACTTTTGGCTGCTGATTTACATGCTTGATCTTCTCAAGTGGTTGGACATTAATAATGCTCTCTGAAGAGCAAGCACTTGATACTGGCTAACTTCCTGAAGAATCTTGGTATCTAAACCAGCTCCTTCAAAATCAAAGTCTACTTTACAAAAAGTAGGATTTATGCTTTCTGGATCTGTGGTGCATAGGTTTCAACCAATGCTCCAGCTGTTCACTTTCATCATATACCTTAACTGATGGTGCAGCATGAATCCTGTGCCTTACCAGGGCCAAGCTGCATCATATCCATGAACTAAAGAAAATCCTTTTCCAGTGCCACAGCCAAGAGGGATACAGCTTCCTAAGAAGGAGCTCCCACAGTGTCAACCTCCTGCATCAACTCATCACAGAAAAGGATGCAATATAAAACAAAAGGCTGAAGCTGTGTTTTAAGCTTCATTCTCTTTATCCTCCATGGGTTTGCATCTCCTCCCTCTCCCTATCCACTTTTGGTCCCCACTGGATGAGCAGTTTTGGAAACTAAAACCATTATGCTGAGGGCAAGTCAAGAAATCATAGCACAGGCTTCACAGCTCCTCAGCTGACCAGCCAGCCAAGGAAGGCACTTTGCCAAGATTACATATTTGCTTTGCAGGCTACATGTGATCCACCAGAATCAGTGGGAGCTTTGCCCCAGTGCAAGTCGGATGATTGAATTCTATATGCTGTATATTCCACACATCCACACACGACAGAAACCCAAGCCTGTTTCAAAAGGCAAGTTCTGCTGCATTAGCAGTGAGGTCAAGGTTCAGCTGCTACATGGGAAGAACCATCTTTCTTTGTATGTGTTATTTGATATGTAAGAATAAAGAATGTCACAAGAGAGGTAGAAAATGATAAGATGCATCATAAAGAATTATTCATCTATTGCACATTTGAAAATGCCTCAATACAATCTCAGAATTAGAAATAATGCAGAAGTGCTTCACAAATGAGGCCTTTGTGAATAATGATCTATAAATCCATTACAATATATGGTTCTTGCATCTTTTTTGAGAGTTGTCAAAACATTATGGAAAAAAACCATAAACCTCTGTATTTGAATATTTTTGTATTAATGAGTAAAGTGCTCTCTCGCTGCAAGAGATCCGAATCCCTTCTGCCTACACAAGTGCTACCAGGTTACTTCAAATATTTTCACTGTTGGCATATTTAAGTTCATCAATCACACACTGACATACATTACAAAGTAAGGGCTGAGACCTCAGCAGCAACTGCTACACTGCAGCAACAGAGCATCCCATGAGTTGCTGCTTTGTTACAGCCCTCAACAGTGCAGGATTGCAGGAAAGCCTGTCGGTTCTTTCTGCAAAACTACCAAGAACCCAAGCTGCGACTATTCATAGGGTTTTCACCAGACAGAATGACACAAGACAGGTCAACAGTAATATGTATTAAATCCTTTCAGGAACTAATTGTACCCTGTGGATTCTTTACTGATGGAGAAGTCAAGTGGATTACTCTAGTGCACTCAGAAGACACACCTTGCAGGTACAAAAGCTCGCTCAGGCTGTCTGTGGCATCGCACTCCATATATGGCTGTATATGGCAATGCTACATCTCCAGTATCTCCCAGTTTCCCAAAAAAGCATCTCAGACTTGACTACACTTGAGTGTAAAGAAACTGATGGGTGGAATAGGACAACATATTTGAAAATGAAAAACGTTTAATGAAAAATACCTAAAAGGTAGACACTGTTCTGAAAAACATTTTGGAGAACCATTAATAATTGTATTAGATAGCACACATGGGAGAACTCTCACGTGGCAAAAGAGCATGAAACAGGCACTGCTAAAACTGTCCAAATTCAGAATACCTTCTTGCTAAAAGCCAGTATGAGATGCCTTAGAAATACACACTGCACATTCATAAACACTGAGTGAAAAGGCATTTTTCCTCTCAACTGATAATACTTGTTATAAATCTGAGCTGTTCAGCCTGTGCAATACTCATTACAGAAACTGTAAAAGCAGCATTTATCATAACACAGAAAATGCTGAGTACAAAGGCACGACAGAACAGTATACTGAAATTATATTTTTAATGCGTAGGCATTGTAAATCAGTTAACTTCATCAGAACTGAAATACATAGGAAAGTAAAAAATTCTGGTTACAGGTTATTTCTCTGCTGTACATTTATATATATATTACGACCTTCAAATGGCAAAAGCACCTGATTACAAAGACTGCTATACATCATTTTGATCACAAGGTGGTGCAAGCAACCTACAAGCGCATTCACAAAATTGCTTTACCACTGTCGAACAACTAAGGCATTTTTAACTTGTAAAAATTAATTAAAAAAAAAAAAAAAAAAAAAAAGGCAAAACAACACAGAAACTACCTTCCCCCTGACTCACAATCAGCTGCATTCCTTGACTCAGAATACTGCTTCAGCCTAACTCAGAAGCTTCCAAATTTTTCAGCAGGCATTAGCTGTATGCTTCTGAGAGAAGTTATACCTGGAAAAGGGTTCTTGCCCTTGTCAGGTCCGAAACACTTTTACACAGAATAGGGCACTTGCAGAAGTAGGTATTGTGGATATGCTATTTAATTCCCTAAGCCTGAGGAACATGAAGGCACTTCTCACTTTTCCAGCAAGAGTAATGAATTCTCTACTGTAGAAACTCAGAATTTATGTACAGAATACAGACAAAATGAAAGCTTTTATTTTATATGCAACAGATATTTAGTATAATAATACCTATTAACATAATTAAATTCGATTAAATGCACTTCCACAGCAACTTAAACCAGAACTGGTAACAGAACTCAGATGCAGCATTTTATTTTTGCAGACACCTCAGAAGAATCATAGAATGGTTTGGGTTCTTCAGTACTATCCTGTACTGGTATCAGCAGTACACGTCCACGTCAATGAATCTAGACAAAGCATTAATACTGTATCCAGTTACCTCTGTACATGGAGCATGTAGCTATGAAAACATTTACATTTCCAAAATCATGTAATATCGATTTGCAACAGTGTGATTTAGGTTCATTGTAACTACTTCCTTGATCTGTTGCATATCTGCCATGACACTTCATTGTAATTTATGAATAAAGTAGTAACACATTTGCACTACACTGATAAAAAGATTACTGTAGGTTTTTATATAAACATATGAATTAGAATAAAAAAAAAAAAAAGAAAAAAAGAGCTTGGCTTAATATGAAACAAAATCTCTTCTTTAATATTCCACTACTGAAACTATTTAGGATCCCCTTCCACCAAGGAAAACAGAGTGGAAAGTAACATACTCATTCATGATTGATAAGCAGCTAACTGTCTACAAAACACTTGGTTTGTTTTACAGGATGTGTAAAATAATCTCAATACAACATCTTTCATCCATCATTGTTAATGCAAGTTCAGATTTTTGACAGGATTATACATGTATGGAACAAAAAAAATAAAAACCAAACAAACCATACAGAGCAGCTCCAGCAACTAAAAAAAGTCACATATGAAGTCATGTACACTCTGACGTGGTGTAATCTTGAATGCCCAAGTACGCTAAATTTAGTGCTAGTCCATTCTGGTTTTTCATGTTACAGCTAGACAATCCAAAACCAGACCAGTCAGATGTCTACACCACTTCAAACGTGAAACAGCAAAATTCGTGTTCAAGATGGGCATTCTGAAAGTGATAAATGAGACCTTTATATCCACATACGTTAAATGCACTGGCAGGATCAGAAGAGAAACAGGATCCTCAGCAAACAGTATGCAGCTGGGAGACAAGAAAGCTTAATCTGTCCACTAAGCAAACGCAACATGATTTACATTTGACATAAATGCTAAAGTGGAAAAGTTAAGCCAAGAAAATAAACCAGGAATTGTTTGCCCTAGACAAATGCAGCATGATTACAGGGTTGGGGCTCAGAGACTTCCTCGTCTTCCTACAGGGAAGAAAGAAGGGGGTTTGTAACCACTTTTCATTAGTGGGCTCATGAAAAAGAAGTATGATTCAAAATATGACAAAACGAATAGAAGTAGCATTTTCAAGAACCTTTGCTTGAAAACATGCAGTCATAAATCAGACAAAACTTACAAACTAAAAAGTGAATTCCCACTTCACAAAAAGCCCTTTAAAGATCAATAGTCTTGACTTGCTTGGGGAGGAGGAACACCAAACCAAAACCCAAACCAAAACAAAAACTGGAGTTCCCATTTTCCAGCACAGTACACACTGAAACACATTTTACAACCTTTACTTTGAGTAGCCTCAAAGGCCAGTAGCATTCTTCTGAGATGTTCGAGGTTTACCTTGTTTCACCCTTGTTCTTCCTTTGATACCTTAAGAGAAAGCACACTAGAAAAGAACGTATACTTTAATGACTTGTTTGGCTCAACTTCACACAGCCCTGAATCCCAGGCATTGGCCAAAGGCACTAAAGTGGCAAGCGTAAAGTAGGCATGCAAGGGAGGCCTTTATGCCCTGTGGCACTTGTTTAATTATGAAACTTCTGTGACAAAATTTTGCTATGTAGCTTAATGGACACAGAAACCTGAAATATTCCAGATTTGTTGAAGCACATACAAGCTGTTATCTGCTCAGTGGGAATATACCCTCTTCCTTGTTTCTGACTGGTCTTAAGATCACAGAGAAACTGCAGTTCTCGGTGCTGATCCCCACAAAAATATTTATCAAAAAGGCCATATTTATGAAACAGGCAGCTGTTCCACTTCCAGCCGCTCTCCACCTTCTCTCTGCATATTCAACCTCTTTCTTTCTACTCTTTCCAAAATAAAATGCACTCATGTAAGCCCATCTCTCAAAGCAACATCAAATATTAACATAATTCCAATTTTGGCCCTTAAAAAGCACACGTGGTAGAGGCAAAAGGTAACAGACATTTACCACACAGAGGTGTGTGCATACATGTACACAGAAGTATCTCGAGAACCAAAGGCTGTAGATTCAGCAAGTAAAGCCAGTACGAAGTCCCAGCAACTCTGGTCAGCCCATTCACTTTGCAGCAGGATTCTTGGGAGGTTGCAGTTTGTAGGTGCTGAAGTAGTTCACCACTTGCTGAGGGACTTCTGCCAGGACACACTGTGCCAGCGCTTCTTTTGGAGACTTACAGAAGAAAACAGTTTCAGTTTCCACCAACTGTTAACAGAGATCCTAAGACAGGTAATAAACACTTCCTCTATTAGGCAAATTTGAAATCTGACATTTTACAGAGGACTTTACACAGTGCCCTTGTGGGACAGATGAAAGCTTCTCTGAAATCTTCACCTTCTCACTCCCATTACCAGGAAGCAGCTGGCTGCCTTACTCCACTGAAGTACCAGAAGCCAGGTGTGCAAAGGCCTGCCATGTCTGAAGATACCTTCAGTCATATGAAATGCGCACAGAGTGCAGCTGTCAAAATTTAGCCACGTAAACACACTTCGACTATCTGCTTACGATGACACTTCAGGGGCTTTGTCTAATCATCCGCAACCTTTTGCACCATGTCTCACCCACAGTAACTGTATTGCTCCAGAGGAGCTCTGCTAGAGATGCTGTCTTTACTGTAAGACTAAGTATCCATAGGGAAAAAAAGCACCCCTTTTTCTAGAAACTGAAAGCATTTGAATGTATAATTTTATACTGAATATTAATCCTAGTTAATCTACATCCAATTGCATTATTCAGTGAGCATATTCTATATTGATTTTATTTTCTCCTTCCAGTTTGCCTGATTTGCTCCGACACTAACAAAATTTCTATCAAAAGTAAAAAATACAAAGACAAAATAAGAAGGTATAAAGAGTATTATTAATAGGGATAATATTAATAAACAAAATCAGACTATAAGGGTGGAAATTAAAATATTCCTCTGCAGCAACTTGTCAGAAATGCAGTGCTGAAACCAGAATTGAATCTTTTTGAACATGCAACAGCTCACTTAGTGGAAATTCTACACATGCTGAAGTTTATAGTCCTGGGATTTTTTTTTTTAGCATTTGATAAAAGACTTACCTCAGACTTCAGAGTTAATTTTAGAGACTCTGCAAAAGTTTAGGACTATATGCAGGCTATCCTAGCAAACCCAGCATACCTCTACAATACTCATTAAACCATACCACCAAGATTACTTACATTTAGGAATTTCCTGAATGGCACAAACTGGACAATGTCTCTGACAGCTGGTTCTCCTGATGAGGACCTAAGAACTCCATCGTCACCATCAAGAAACTCCATAGCATCAAAGTCTGCTCCTCCAACACCAACAATGATAATGGACATGGGCAATTTTGAAGCATTAACTATGGCAGTTCGAGTTTGATCAAGGTCTGTTATCACACCATCCGTTATGATCAGGAGTATAAAGTATTGCTGTCAAATCAATAAACACCATGTTACAACAAAAAACAGAAAAGAGGCCAGCATGTACACTTAGAAAAATGAACATACAGACTACACACTGTTGTCACTTTAAACATGCTCAATGTACTCCCTGAATTTTACAAGCAGACATGTAAGTTGTGGTCAGGCTTCAACTGTACAGTCTGAAGAAATTTATAAGGACAACTGAATCACTCTTTTAGAAGAAGTCATCTTTAAACAGCAACTCCCAAAAAAACAACAGCGGTATCACTCTTGTCCTTCGTCAGCTAACAATGGATGAACAAAAGAGTCCTGGAACTCTTAAATTAAAACATATCTTTTTCATGCTGAAAACTAGCATGTCCATTTTCAAATTTCTTTAATGATGTTTTCTAGTTGCTTTGTGAAGTTAATTATCAAGGTATCTGAGACCACCTTGCAGTACTTTAGTAATATATTCAAGTACCACTTGACCTGGTTCCACTATACTGCCAGGGCTTCTACAAGTTGTCATCTTAGTCTCTGTTCTGGATTGAAGCATCAAGAATAAGGCAGAAGTACAAAGTTCAAAAACTATCAAAATACTTTCTTAACTTCTGGTCTTCTCTCACTTTGTTCATTTCAGGAGATTGCTGGGCAGCACAAATTCAAGTTCCAAAGATATACTCAGAAGTCTTCCTCTTCAGAACTTTGCTCTTCATCTTCACTTATCTGGCTTTAAAATAATTGGTTTTCCCTTATCTGCTGTGTTCAGGTATCATCTTTTCTCCTTGCTCCCCAACACTCTATTTCCCCACTCCAGCTACAATGTCTACAAAGCAACCATGAGCAGAGTAGGCCATGACCAGCAGCATGATAGAATATCACACTGGATTTATTTCTTGCTTCTCATACTTGCTTCATACTGGAGGAAAAAAAAAAAAGAAAACCAAAAGCCAACCCAAAATATCTATAGTACACATTAAACAGCAGGGCAGCAAAAGTTACTCGATACATCCTTTCAGGCAGAAAAAATACATCTCTTGCTAGGCGTATTGCACACTCTGGGGAAGGGGAAGGGAAGGGAAAAAAAAAAAAAAAAAAAAGATGTACAAGAGGTTTTGCTACTTTCCATACATACATATATTGATGACAGTTACTACTGAAAGACTATCAAGGTAAAACGTTATAAATCTCCTGGCATATGAAAATCCATAGCTCTTTTCCAAATTGGTTTCCATGGGTACTTTTCTATGCAAAAAACAGCTAATTTTATTTTCTGATTTTACATAACATCTGAGACACCAGTATCTGCTATTATTAATTACTTAGGATACATATGGCTTCAGATTTGATGAATTTGCATGGATTATTATCTAAATGATTTCATACTCAAGACTTGCTCCTTCAGATTTCCTAATAGGGTCAACAACTCGCACATACAATTTTAATAGAGAGGAGGACACAGCACTTACAGCACCTAAAGCTTTATAGTACGGACAACTGATTATCCATGCTGGCACCTAGGTGGCAGGACCTATATTCTCCATTATCTTATTTAATTCTCTTTCTCAGCTATTTGATGTGAAACAAGGTCTACTTGATATTCTCAGCTAAGGTTAAGTCACTCTCCTATATGCAAAGGCTTAAATTAGACTTTTAACACCTGATTAGCACAGCAAGAGCTTGGAATAGAAAATACCATAAAGATTCCATGTATTTTTAAGCTGATATTTCAACCCTAAAGAGTTTGTTTAGTTAATTTAGGAGAGAATTACTGCGTACAATCTGCAGAAATCGGTTAGCTTTTATCTCCTTTTAAGGGTACCAAACATCAATTCACAAGGTAAATGTTCAGCTGTCAAAACAGGTACAGCTTAAAAGAGAAAAATAGCATATATAAATTGGAAGGGAAAGAAAAAAGTAAGAAAAATATACACAGTACCATAAGGAACTTACAGATGCTGTTTGCTGTTGTGTAGCTGCAGCAGCAAATCTTGCCACATGATTTATAATTGGAGAAAAATTTGTTGGTCCATATAACCTCACTTGAGGAAGACAAGCCCGATATGCATCAACAATGCCTTGGACTCCTAGACAACACAAGTAGATTGTATTAATTTTTTTTGTATCAGAATTAGGATATTTTGAAGCACTCAATCTTCCTGAAACACTGTATCAGTTATTTAAAGTGATGATGTGAAAAACTAACCATGGTGAAAAAAAGTACATGATTCTATGAGCAGTGGAGACCTTTAGCTTGACCAACGTTTAATGCACATAGTTAACATGCCTTGCTCTATGTGAACAGAAAGGCAAACGCTCTACGCCTTACCACAGTTCTCTTCATCTGATAGCTCCTGGTAGCTAACAGTGTGGTCAGAGAGGCCATGCTGAACGGGCGCTAGCAGCATCATATTCAAACCAGACAACTCCACTTCAGTAGCAAAGTAGAAGAAATTAGCTTGACAACATAAGAGAATCATTCCCAGTTTACCTGTACTGTGCCCTGTTTAAAACACTTTTTTCATAAATCATGAAGATTACAGAAGAGAGACCAAATGCTATTTGTAGCAACTAAGAAAATGGTTATAAAATTGTTTTCTGCTACAGAACCAAACTCATTATTTAATTAGAACAATATGCCTCACAGTTCACTTTTCATGTGTTTTTACCCCTTCACCTTAGACTTACTCAGACTTACCATTACAGAATGGGTTTGATGGGTTAAAATTTAATGGGAACTCATGTGACACCTGTAAATATAAAAGGCATGGTCAAGGACTGTATATACAGTCTCCTCATGAAGTAAGTGCTTTTAACACATTTACATATTCCATTACCTGAAACGAAGGAGGAATTTGTGCACCAAATCCAAAGGCTGGAAACATCTTATCTCTAAAAAAGGCAATTTTAAAGGAAAATGAAGTGAATGCCTTCCTTTAAAAGCTGTCATAGTTCAGTAAATTTAGCTAACCAGTGCCGCTTTTGACTATTAAAAATGCTGTTTATTAAGCATTAAGAGGCAAAATTAAATGGAAGTTGCCCCATGTAATTGTTTCTAGGACCAAAACGACTGTTACACACCAAATTGGCAAAAATGCAAGCATTCATTTAAATCAACACTGCTTTTTGCATCACAGATGAAAAGCCTTGCTGTTTGTCTGCTGTAAACACAAGCTTCTCCTTGTGATTATGTGATTCTGCAGTGATTATGAAGTCTTTTTTAGCTCTACATTTCAGAGCAGAAGTTTTATTCCAATATATCTGCTGGCATCTTCAACATCGGTTTAAGAAGCAGCCATAAAAAAACATACATATCTAAAAGTTATTCAAAAAAATCTAAAACTTACGTATCATAATCCTGAATGACCAGTCCTACAGACCAGATGGCTGTTAGGTATTCATTAACTCCATTAGGGCTGAGGTAATGCAGAGAGTCTGGAGAGCGAGGGTCTCCATTGGAGCCTGTAAAATCTATCCCCACCTGTCAAATGCAATGTTTATATTAAATTGCTGTTAGTGGTAAAATTATCTTTTCTGTTAATCACAAAGACAAAGTGACAATCATGAAAGGGTTGTAAACAGTAGTTACCAGGACACCTACAAATCTAACAGGCACAATACTTAGACTCAGGTTTCTTGGAATATTAACACTTAATGCCTCTACAAAACCATCAGCAGCTTTGCTTTTGTCAGAAGGGCTGAAATGACCTTCATCTGCCAGGTTTTCACTGTGTTCACTTTCAGTTACCATTCACAGCGGCTCTTCAATAGCTATTAAACCAATTTCATTCTCTATCTTGCCATACACATCTTTCCTCTCAGAAGTACAACAGACACCACAGATGCCTGGAGACAGTTCTTTCTCCAGCCTCAATGAGTCTTCTTTGCTTTGGTGATGAAGTACATCATCAGGGTGAAGACATCTTACTGCTATTTGTACTGCATTTAGTTCTCCTTGGGCTCCATGCACACAGCTCAGTCAGGTTCTAACAAACATAACTACAGGATACGAACTTTGTGCCATGAAAGTAATTTTTTCTAAACAGACTAGATGGACTCTGGCAAAATTACTTCCCCCCTCCATGATACAAAAAAAACAAAACAAAACAAAACAAAAAAACAAAAACAAAAAACAAAACACAAAAAACCCAAAACCAAAAAAACCCAAAAAACAAAAAAAACCCCAAAACACTAAAACAAAAAAAAAACCCCTAAACACCAAAACCACCACCAAACCAAGCAACAACAACAAAACAACCAACCAAAAAAAACCCCAATAACAGAGTGAAGAGCACAGGCACACAGGCAATCAATTATGCATTTCCATTCATTCTAAAACTCAAAAGCTACTTTGTACAAATGATTTAACTTACTGTGAAATTCAGCTGACACCCACCCATGATGTAATCAAGGAATGTGCACTCTACTATGATCTAAAAATAGAAGTTAATTATAGATATTAACTTTTTTTTTAATGGGAGAAAACTAATAAATATTATTGCAGTAACTTCTGAGGTCGCAGATCTGGTATCTTTACTCATGCAAAGCACTACTTTTACTCTATAGATATCTACAGATACATACTTCTACTCTACACATTTCACCCACCCACTGCAGTGAGGATATCTACAGAATGGGCAATCACTGCAACAGAATCAGGCATTTTACAAAATTACAGGTAGACAACAAAGCAGGTCCGAAAGCTCTATCATTTATAAACCAACATATTATAACAGACTAACCAGATTTTAATTCACCATAAAATGGTGAGTTGGGAAATACAGTGGTTCAGGATTGGCCTTACAAATTTGTAAGTGACCTTTGCCATATAAATGGCACCTTCAAGTGAGGGGACAGAAACATGATCCAGCTGCCAATCTGTCTCCTTATATGAATCAGAGTCCTTAACTACCCACCATGTCTGAAACTTCTAGACATTTTAAAGTTTCCTACAGTTTGAGGGTGGAAGCATAGTAGGTGACAGCTGTTATACCTGAACACTTAAAAACAGAGTAATACCAGAATACATCACTGACCTCACAGTGCTTAACGCTCACAATACCAGAGTTCTTGTAGTTTTTTTTCTTCTGTCGTTTCTTTTCATTGATGCACTCAAATTCAACCTGTATGAACGCAAACAAATCCAATAAAAGCACTATAAATACTTATGCAACAAAAATTCTTTATTCTAGGACTGATACTTTGGGCTTGTATTAAAAATGCAGTTTCACTATCAAGCAAAATTAAACCCAGTCTGCCCAAAATTAGCAAGAAAAATGCCATTACCAAGACAGAAAACCTTTCTTACCAAAAAGTTTAGAAATACATTTGTTTAGACAACTGTATTTTAACCAACAAAATTGTACTATTTTCCCTCTGAGGATTCTACTGACAAACAACTTGATTTTTGCCTGAATCATCATGTCTTTAACAAAGCAGCTGTGGCAGTAACATATGAAGTAAGACCTGTATGTTTAAGCTTCCTAAAAACAGTTGTTGAGGCTTCATCAATTAAACCGTTACTTTAACCTATTAGCGCAGTCAACACCAAGCCAGGTTAAGCACCTCCTGCCATCATACAGGAAAATGGATGCATAATGCAAATGCTGAGTTAGCCTCAACTACAGCAGCATTGTTAAGGTGCAGCCTAACAACTTCAACATCACAAGTCAAGTGACATTAAGTTTTGCCTCCAAATGAGTAGAACAGCTTATCAAAAGCACACAGGTAGACTATGTAAGACTTACAGGTGAGGACCGGGATGCTTCCTTCAGTTTTGACATCGTAGTTTGAAAACTTCCTATGAGATCATGAGACCCATCACTATCATAGTCATAGCACTCAACCTAAACCAAAGCATTATTCCGTGTTAGTAACAGAAATGGCCCAACAAAAGCAGTGAACACTGCAATAGCATTTCCTCAGGCAAACCTGAATCTCTTATATCATGGAGTTTTTCTCAGATTGCACTCTTAGAATTGCATAGAGTTACACCTAAAATTATGGATGAAGTATGATAAAAAACAATATAACCCATTTCAGACCAGATCTTTCACTGGAGTGGAGAGACGAAAATACTAAACAGCTTCAGGTCTTGCATGAGCAAGTAACATCAATTATACTGAACTATGTTTTGGGAGTGTGGAGGTGTTGGGAAAAGTAAGAGAATAATGTAGTTTTTTTCTACTGTAATCATGGATTAAGAGACTCAATTTTTCAGAGGTATTAAGGAAATTTAACCATCTCTGAGCATCCAGCCAAAAAATTAGTTAATTAGTTCTTCAGTGATCACAAGAGTTTTATTAACACTTTTATATTACTTTATTAATCTTCAAGATAATTCAGAATTTAGAAGTATATGAAGGTTCAGCTCTAAATCTAGAAACAAGACTCGAATTTTTTTAACATCTTTTAACACCCCAACCCACCAAAGAAGGCAGAACAAGTGAAACAAACTTTTTTTTCCCTAAGAACCTATCAGTTTGAGTATAATTCTACCACTGTTATTTAAAGCATCCTCAATTTCTGTTTTTCAAAAGTTCAACTTACGAATGTGACTGAACTGCCTTTCCAGACAAAAAGCTGGGTATTTATCTATAAAAGCATATGCTAGTTTCATCCACTTCTGATATTTTATTTCAGTTTAGCAATGCAGACATGCTAGCTAATCAAATAACAGGGGAAAAAAGTAATAAAAGTAATTATAAATAATAACAATAATAAACCAAGAGTTAAAGTAGGAGTTCCCCATTAGAATGGAATCAAAACAAATTTCAGGAAAACCTTTTCTGAATATAGAGGGCTTGAACTGAACAGCTATATTCATGTCCATCTTTCCAGACTGAAAAAAAATCATACATTACATTCAAGAAACAATTCAGTTGATTACTTGGCCACTTCATTTAGGAATAACGAAGTAAAACAAACAACTTCAACATACACTTGAGCTTCTGAGAGGAATTAACCCTCTGAATACAAACAGTAATGTTGAAGTACAAAACATGATGTGTAGATTGCAAGTTCTATGCTGTGCAGAACATGCCTCATGCCTCTGCCGCAGTTTGCACTACTCCTACATTTTGAATGCACTAACAAATAAATGCATGCACATGCAGTGAATAGCAACTTAAATCTCATACAAGCATCCACAGAACCAAAAGACTAACGTTCATGGCAGATACTATGTAAAATCTTTAGAATGCCATAAATTAAGCCAATCAAACACTCAGCCAAGTTCTTCAGTACCTGATATTTAAAACAGAAGACATTTCCTGAGGCAATAGTTAAGATACCTGCCCACAGTTAGCATAGTTAGTTATTTCTCCTTTTAAAGGGATCAAAGCTTGTCTTGCTTGACATATATGTGACTCATCTAAGCCAATTTTCAATGCTTATCCAAGCAAGACAGAAGTATTTATTTTGTTCCATGTATGCTCCTCCTGGACATACAAAAGCACTAGGGAACCAGATGATAAGATTGCGTATGTATTTGACCCAGCAGAACTAGGCATGCTTGCTCCAGATGAAAGGCTCACATTTCCAACATGGCAAAACTTCATTAACTGCAAACACACTCAGATGGAATATAGCAATGAAACTGTAAGATAAAGAATCAACTTGGTTTGTGCATTGCTGGGGATACACAAACCAAGCCACTCGTTATGGAAAAGTTGGTGGGTTTACTTACTATGACAAATAGCCCATTACGTATGCAACTGTGCACATACAGAAGTGTTAAAAGTATTGTTTAATCCTTCAACATTATAATACAATTCTTCCTGCATTTTAATGTTTGAAGTAATAGCTCCTGGATTTATAAATTAAAATATAAGCCTACTGTCTGTCTGCAACCTCTAGAAATAAACCTAAACTTGGGAGGTAAGATTCCAAGGAATAGGCTTTATTAAAATTATGACAGAACTGATAATTACTCCATCTTAATAGATATAATTTAATCAATGGTCTATAGTTTTAGTACGGCTGTTTACCGAAAAAGAGAAATGTATTTACAATATACGGAGATGAAAGAGCTATCACAGCTACTTTGGGAAAAAGGGAAACAGAAAGGAATGAGAAAGAAAAAAATAAAGAAACTGCACAAGAAGCAGGTTCTGGGCTTCTAAAGTTGTTCATTAGTCTGTTCTATAATTATGTATTTAAATCTATACAGCTGCTTGTAACACCCAGATCCCTGTGGCTGTTAAACATATTCCAGGGCTACCTCAAGTCATATGACTGTCACATGCAGATCACGCTGTCATTTTTCCTTCCAAGGGAAGAATGACAAGTACAGTGGTTTATTCATTTGGGTTTTTTTCATTAAATGCTAAAATATCAGGTTTCTAACATGTTCACAATAGATTATAAATGGCCTTTTGATTGGTTCCTTAGCTTCAATTCCACCCCTAAAGAGAATTCCTTAAAAAAAACATTCAGAAGTTAAACATAATTTATTCAAGATAAGATCTGAAGATACGAAGAGTTAAAGACCAGTCCTGGTAGAACTATCACTTTACAGGTTTGGTGACTTTCTGACAGAAGGTTCAGTTCTATCTGAGGAGAAAAAATTGCTACATCTGGTATCCACAAGATACATTTGGTCCACATCTGTTCTCTCAGCTGGTGTATTAAGCGTAATTAATGTATATCAAAAATTTCATTAGTGTTACCTGTTGCACCAGTAACAAAGTATTACAAAATCTATAACGTAGACCAAAGCGCATTCTAGCGTTTACCACACATCCTTCATTATACAGTATCTTAACACCACTGATACTGGCTGATGCAACCCTAAAACTGTATGATCCAAATAAGAAACTGAACTGGGTCTTTCAAAGCTACTTGTGTTTAACTGTTTAGCCAGACTTTCAAAGACCAACTTTTACCAGATAATGCATCACAAATGTGGGATACATCTTTTCCCCCTAAAACACGCGTGCATCTCTGTAAATTTCAAATAAGAGTGAGAATCCTAATACTTTCAATTCAATTTGAAACAGAGACAATAACTACAATAACACATCTTCCATTTATTACATATTTTTAATGCATTAATTCATACACACATTTAATTTACATTACCTTGATCAACTTATCCATGTCACTGTAACACAGAGAATTGAGAGAGATTTTAAAGGGTCTCCAAACTGGATTCAGGTTGTTCTTAATAACCTGTTTTTAAGAAAAGCCAGAATAGTATTATTCCCAAGAGTGGAAAGTAGTTATTGTAATGGGTCATACCCTTCATGACATGATTTTTGTAAGAAAAAACAGTTGACTAATGCTGCTGTCAATCACTTCATGCAATCCAAATCCTAGCATATAGGATATATAAACAAACATAACATTCTAAACAAGCAATACCATTATCCGAAAGAGACAGTATCTTTCAGCTCTGTATTTTTCTAGACTGCACTGTGATCTACTATATCATTCAGCCACTACACTGCAAAAATTATTTTTTTTATAATCACACACATGTAATATATGCACATGAACATACAAGAAAGCGTGGCTTACCAAAGAAAAGTGGAAAATAATTACATTAGAAATTCTGAATACATCAATGCTCTGGAGATTTTATAATTCACTCCAGCTTCTATTTATTCTGAAATGCCACTTATGGAAATATTCCCTCAAGAAATTCATCATATACTTAAGCAGAAACAGTACATGAGGATAAAAGGTCTCAAATTGAACACTAAAACACAGCATTTAAGAATAATACTGAATGACCTTCAGAATTTGTCAACTGGAAAGTATCTGTAATATACCCAAACACCAAATAATGATCCTATAAAGTACAAGAAACTACAAATAATAAGCAATACTTAATTAATAATACCTAATAATAGTAATACTTATACTTCCAGCACTGTATGAGTAGAAAGGAAAGAAATAACTCTTTTGAAAATGAAAACAGTAAACAATGGTTAGTAACATAAAAAGGTTTTAAAATCTGTAACATAAATAACTAATCCTCCAGCCAGTTCCAGACTGGAACAGCAAATTTGGGATTTATTACTAAAATTGAAGATGACTGAAATCCTCATGGAAAAGATACAATTTACGCAGAAGAACCACCTTACAAGAGAAACGAGTTTTATAAATCTGACACAAAAAGGATCAACATCCATGCTTCAAAATTAACACGGTCACCACCTCAAATGCGCACAGTACCCCAGTTGTGACTAGGGCCTGGGCTTCCACTACAGTGAGACATGTTGAACCTGCTCCTACCCTGTCAGTTGCTGCCATGGCACCTCTGCACCTCCAACAAGGTAGAATGCTGCTGCTACTCAAGCACGTTTTCCCTCACTCAGCATTATCCTTGGCTTGCCCTTGCTATGCAACCATTCAGTATAATAATTTTCATTATTAAACAGTACAGCTAGGTGACACTGACCTAAGAACAGCACAGCCACAGGAATGCCCAACTTCTACCCTCAGAGCAGCACTCAAATGTCCCTTTGTGAGTACACGTACCTTTTCAAAACCTGCAGAAAGTTTTGTGGTAGGGTTTGGCTTTCTGTGGGTGGTTTTTTTTTTTTTTGTTTTTTTAAGTATTTTCCTTTAAAACAGGATGGCATAAATCAGAAACAGAGTAAGGTAGACTTCCCATTCTATCATAAAATCAATGGAAGATCTGAGGTCATTTCTAACCAGTCTGTATGTCAACTACCAGACTATTCTCTTCTTTTTGTAAGGCACTGTACTTCTAGCCCTGTGACATACTTGAAATCAAATAACCTTAATCTCCAAGTCGTTGACTGAAAATATCCTACCTCTGTTCTGTGAACCATCACCCAGTTTCCATCTCCAGTCTGCTTGTGGAATTCCAGATAAGGATCTGACTTTCCAAAAAAATCCTGTATTTAAAGAACAAGTAATTATCCCAGAACAGCCTGTGGCATGAATGCTATGAAATGTCAGTTAAAGCACACTTAGCTTAACAAAAAGCAAACTAAATGTTCATAGAACAAAAGCTCTATAAGAAGAAATGCAAGTCTGACGAAAGAGGGAAAAAACAGGGCATGTCTGTCAATTTAAGTTCTGTAGTGTTCACATACTAGATACCTGACAAGTCAAGCAAAAGAGTATTTATACTATCCATCATAATACTCATTAGTTAGAAAACTAAGGATTTCGTCCGGTTCAAAAAAGTATCATTAAATCAACTGGGGAATAACTTTTTTTTTCATTATTAATTTTGTTTTTAAAAGTCTTTCTAAATAGTCATTTTAGCCAGCCCCAAAACATTTACATAATGGATTTACACACTCCAAGTGCACTCTTGACCAGTTATTTCACAGAGCTAGCAGGTAATCATTTATACACCTATTCAACCCAATTGGTATACCGAACTCCCTTATCTTTATGATTAAGTATAAATATTTAGATTTAAATGGAAGCATGCTGTTCATACACTATTCTGAAATGCACTTGGCTTTTTTAGAAAGACATTATAGTTCATTTCAAAACAGTTAATAAAGTTACTGTGAAACCATCTTTCTTCAATTTATTAGCATAAGAAAAATCTTAACAGATTTATTTCAGAAAAAAAAAAAAACAACAAACCAAAACCAAAAACCAAAACCAAAAAAAACCCCAAACATTTTAATGTTTCCTGTTTTAACAAGATTCTGATTTTACTAAGAAACAGCAATGGCTTAAATACCTTGTTGTCCAGCTTCCTTGCTTCTACTTCCAACACAACTACCCTGTTGTCCTTCACTTCTTCTGCTGTAATCTACAAAGGCAAACAAAATTAAATCCTTATTTTGTATTCAGGAATACTACATAGTTTTCTCATATTCACAACAGATCCACTAAAATAAATCATCTTTGCTCACAAATGAAACATTAAAAAATGCAGTGGGGGGAGGAAGGAATAATTTCATCTGATATTGGGATTCACTAGATGATGACACTGACAATTAAAGATATTGCCCAAACAGTAGCACACTGGATGCCCTAGTTATTTTATGGATGCAATGAGACCTAGAGATGCAGAAGGTGGGCTGCTCTTCTTCTGGATGACAAAGAAATTAGTGGAGGGGAAAAAGCAAATAAAAAGCTTTAAGACACCTTTTATAGCACTGTAGGTTACACATACTGTGTTCAAAACACTAACTCAAAAAATTCCAAACAAACTACACACCAAAATATTTAAGGATAAATACTAAATACTGTCTTACCGTAATACTTCCTCTTCCAGCAGGTCTGCCATTTTTGAGTACTAATGGTTTTGTTAGAGTCCTGCTAGAAACTATCTGCCAAGACAAAATTTGTGTATCAAGCATTAGTAGCACAATCTTATGTACAAGTAGCCAATTTAATAGATTTTCAAAGGAATGAAATCAGATAGTGGGGCGTTTTCTTTTTAGTAATTTTTCCTTTATCATGAAGATGACAGCATGGCATTTACTTTCCATGATCTTCTGTAAGTAAATACATAATACTTGATACACTTCAAAATTTTAAACTACATATGCAGATGAACACACGCAGAGTTTCAGGAGCAGTATGAAATCAAGTGTCTTCTAGTAACATGATAAACATAATGGACAAATACCTTAAGTTCCAATCTCAAACCGTTCTTAAGTTTTTCGTATGTACCATTTGAACACATGCAAGCCACATTTCATTAAGGGGTTCAGCAAACAAATTTATAAACACAATCTTTTTCATGGAAACAAACATCAGCCTGCAGCATTTCTAGTTGATTTTATTTTATCCTCTGCTGGCAATGCTTTTTCAGAAGTTTGTCTACTCATTCCACAGGTCCTTCTTTACTTTAAGAATGACTGATTAATTTTAAATTGTTACTGAACTTCATTTCACCATGCCTCTACCTCCATAATGCACTGAACATAAAAATACTTTAGACACAGGGGAGAAAAAAAATCCCAAGATGCCTCTCCCAGAAGTACCTTCAAAGGATCTATTAGAACAAGCTAAAAAGAGGCTGCCTGATTGTGATAGCACCAATAGCAGAATTTGATTGGGAAATGGGAATGAATTCAACAGTAGGCAGAACCAGAATCATTGCTGCTTGCCTTGAATGGAAAGAAAATTACAAGGTTAACGTGGCCCTTGTGAACATTCTTTATGTTACTATATCCAATTTCTTTTTATGGAGCCTAAAAGTAAGAATTTGAATACTACAGTAAATAAATAGCAGTTGCTACTTTGTGCTCATTGACGGTCCACTTACTTTCAGACAGGAATCTGGACAGTCACCATTCTAAAGTACATTTCAGGCCACCATTGCAAGACCCTTTGCAAATAAAATGTACATACACTGAACTGAGGCTTGAAGAAACAAATGAAGGGAATCCTATTCAGTTTAAGAGTACCCCAACTACACAAGAAGATAGTGGTAAATTTAAGGTAACTTATATAAGCAACTTGCATTTTCTTAATTCTAAGGGAAATCATCTGCATACTTACTTGTCCCAGTGTACATTCAAATTCTCCTAAGAAGTCATCATCACTCAGATCAAAGGTTTTGTTATCGATGTCATATATTCCAAATTTAAGTTTCTGAACAAGCTCAAAATAGTAATCAATTAGGAATTTCTTGGCAAACTTTGGGTTCAAGGAATTCTTAACTCTCTCTGTGCGATCAACCTGCAGTCAGAAAGATACCACTTTATCCAGTATTTCACCAACCAAACAAGCATTAAAATCAAATAATACACTATTAAAGACTTCCAAAAATTCTTCTTTCTATGAAGTATAAAGCCATATCTTCCTACAAATCTTTCATCAAATATAAATATATTTATATATTTATAACTCAAATTTATATCTGTAACATATTTATATTTTTCAAATATAAACATATTACAAAATCCACTACTGTAACTCAGAGAGATATTGGAGGAACTGTTTTTCTTTGCTCCCTGTAAGGGGTACTTATTCCTGCATAGAGAAGACCAACATAAAAATGATATTTTGTCAAACCCAGGATGAGACTCCAGAACTGTATTTATAAAGGAACATCTAAGCACTTAGAAGGCTTATTCTGTTGGGCCACACGTGGTTGGGGGAACAGTTCTAAAAATCAGACAAGTGTAAGTATTGATTAGAAAACAATTATTAGTGTGCTGCCAGTGTAACCATTATAGAAATAATGTAATTAAAAGTATTCAGAGGTGCTGCTATATAATCAAAATATTTTAAAGCAGTCATACACTCCAGTGTTTTAAAAGGCCCAGCAACGTAAATGGTGGTTTTAGCAGATTCATGAGAAGCACCACACTGTACCTCATACCACTGCTGACCACTGGTGTTCTGGAGAAGCACGCACAGTGGGTCCGACTTGGAACCAACATCTTTATCCAAGAGATTGGTGCAGGAAATAGTCAGCTCCACCTTTGTCACACACTGTGCCGCCATTTGTTAAGCTAGAAGGCATCAACAGAAATCATTATTTTAAAAATGGACTAAAACCCAAACAATGGAATTGTCACAATGCATTAATTCTCTGACTATCACTAGAATCATTAGCTTGTCAAGAGTGAAATATGATGCTCCAAATGCAAATCTTAAGATTTATGATGTACCAACATTACAGTATTACTGTCGTACTCCTGGCTTTGTATAAAACTTCATTTTAAAATTGGCACATAAGAAACAAGATTAGGTTTCTTAGAATGCTTGAGGAACCAAATAAAAAAATGGGAGACACCACAAACAGGAAACTGTTCACAGTGAACTGCTGACAATAAAACTTCACAAGCTTTAAAGTACATCCTGTAATGATGTATGCCACATGAATGCCAGTATCTTGTAATGTAAATATTAATAATAACTCAATGAATAAGAAAAAAAAAAAAGTCATGTGACATACTCCCCAACCAAACCTTTTTAACAAAAAGCTGAAGCCATGAGCATGGCAGAACTGGAAAAGGAGTTCAAGTGGGTAACAGGAATAGCTGATCTTGCTTTAGTAAATCTTCAAAAACAACTAACTTTTAATAATAGAGATAAACAACTTTGAAGTCAAGTAACAACCAAGAATTAAGAGGAAGAGCTCTTTCTGGAGGTTCATTTAAAAATAAAGAACAACTGAAACCTTTCTTACATTTCTTCTTAAGTATATCAATCATTCTCCAGTGGAACTGAAAAGACCAGCAGATATTACAAACCTACAGAAATAACTTCATTACCAATTATGAATCCCATACTGGGATAACAGGCATTTGCAAGCCAAATTAGGTCTGAGCAGCAGACTTTTTCTCTATAAAAAACCCTCTATAATTATACTCTTCAGGAATACAGCTGATCATTTCCAACATCTCCTTGGGAGGTGAGCCTCTACAGTGCAATTGCTCTTGACTCAGAGACTCAAACTTCCAAATCTTTCCACATGCAGCCTATCTTGGAAGTTCCCAAGCTTCTTCGGGTTCTCCTTTTCCACAGTAAGTCCATAGTCTAGACACAGTATTAACTTATCTTGAAAGTGTATGAGACACTAAACAGAATAAGGAAGGAAAGGCATCTGCTTCTATCTAGCCAGCTCACTTGCAACATACACATATGGTGTACTTGAACATAAAACTACACTTAACCCAAGACTTCCTTTCACGGTATTCTTATGACATTTGGTGAAAAGGAACTTTTTTTTACACGCAAAAAGGGAAAGGAACATGGAAAAGAGGAATGATGAACTGAAAACAGGAGAAAAAACAGTGGTCTGAGGCAATTTTCATGAGACTCCTTTTATTCCACCTGGGCACACTTCACATACTGCCTCTCCCATTTTGCTTTTTAAGAGATGGACATCTGTTTTGCTGTTTTGCCATCTTAGAGATGGACCTTTGGAGAATGAAGTAAATATAAATCACCTTAAAAGAACCACTCAACCATCCATGCACATACATTATTTTTAGGAGGAAACATGTCAGATTTATGGAAATCCTACTGCACCTCGCCAAACACCTAGAGATGATTCCATCTTTGAGTATCTTTTGCTCCCATGACTTTAACAAGTTTCAGTCATTGTCCTTGAGGGGAAAAAAGTGAAACTCTAAGTTCTAAGAATTAAATTGTTTTAAAACCAATGGCTTTTATGCTTAGAAAACATGCCTCTAAAAGCAGTCTGCCCCTTTCCCCCTGGTTCTTTTTTACACTGGTATTTTCTATCCCCCTCTTGCTTTCCTGGCTGCCCGACAGAGCTCATTAATAGTCAGTGGCTTTGCCCACAGAATCCAGTACAGACCAGTGCATGACTCCTCAATGCCCATTTCCCAAAAAACAACTTTCTGCTGACAAAATGATGCTCTATACACAGTATTTGCTTACTTTGAAAATTAATTTATAAATTCTATGACAGAACTTGCCACATCCAAATTCTGAACAGCAGCAATCACATGAGGGAGATACTTGTTCCTGACCCCATGCCATGTCCAGGCCACTCAAGAGTATGATCAGGTCAACTAAGTATATTACAAATTCTTCTGCTTGAGCTGTCACTATCAAAGCAAAAAGTCAAGGACTAGTCTTTTCTTGCAGTTCCACCAATCATAATGTTCTTTGAATCCCATCATAATGACTCTATCAAAGATATGTGGTGTCCATCAAATAACCCAGCCAATGTCTGCTTTTCAACAGAAACTGTTGAAAAAAACAGAGCATTCTAACTGGGAAGGAACAGATCTATTATCAGAATGATCTTTAACAGAGCATTTGGGAACTGCCGGACTGCAGCAACCTTGCTGAGGCTGCAATACCAGAGGAGAGTACAGGCTTGCCCAGGTAACCATCCAGAGTAGCACAAGGACATGTTTATAACTATAGGTGCTTCCCAAACTGACAAGCAGAAATACGTAACTACAAGAAGACAAAAGGACTAATGAAGTGAGCGCTGCTCTAGCTGGGTTTGGCATCACTGCCTTCAGTCAGAAGTCTCAAACCTGTTCTGATGTAAGCTATTGCTATCATAGAACATTTCCTCATTCCTGTGAGCTACTGACAACAGACCCAAAATCCATATTTTGCAGTCACCTCATGGCCCAGATGGACACAGAAAGAGCAGGGAAAACAATTCTGAACTTTCAAACAAAGTCTATTGCTGATCAGCTGATCTTCTAGCTATAATGCTACACTTAAGCATTTTGTGTAAACTGTGTGCCAGACTGAAACAAGCAGTACCATATAAAAGCAGTGCTCCAATCCTTCTTGGATTATTAAGCATTTTCCGCAAATCTGGGCAGATGACAACAAGGAAATAAATTAATTATTCAGATAGAGTGTAAAAATTAAAGTCTTGAACCAAGTCTAAACCTGTAATAATGCATATGAAGCTTTACTGTCCTGAATATTCAGTGTATGAAATTGTTCATGCTCTGCTCTTTCAGACAGGCCTAAGACACCATTTCCTGTAAACAGAATTTTTTTGTGGTAAAGATCTCCAGGCCTGTACCCTGTAAAACCTCTTCTATTGCAAGACCAAGCAATAACAGCACTTCCTACAACAGTCTTTCACAAGAGGGGTGAAAGGAAGAGCTGGCACAAAGATGGATAAAACAAGATTTAAATGAGAGTTAACCTGGGAGACAACATCCATCTGACAACATAACCTTCTCAATTCATTGCCTCAGCATAGTCCTCTAGCCTCTCTTTAGAACAGTTCCATATGCAAAGAGCAAGAGAATGACACAGGACTCCTAGAAAACACCACATCTGCTACAAGAAGCTTCTTTCCATTGATGGGGCTAGTAGCAACACAATTTCTAGTGATCTTGGGCTACTTGTATATAAACATATATTTAAAAAAATCTCAAGGTAACTCTTCAGTTCTCCAGGAAATGGACAACCTCACAGGAGCTGACATTTCACGTGAAGTTACAGAGGCTGTTTCATAACCACATCTGAAAATTAGAGGCTTCTCTAAAAACTGTAAATCTGAATTCTGGCTCCTCTTTTTCCCTCTCTTTACAAGCAACACAGCTGCTAAAATTGTCCTGTGGCACTAACTGATGTGCTGACAAGTAACAGAAGCAGCTCAAAGTAACATATCTCAACTTGAACAACTCTGTATTTGTAGAATCGCACAAACCTTGAGTGTAAGCTACCCCTTCTCACATTCACTACTTAGTATGCATGAAGTAATTATGTAACTCTCCATTGAACAAGTAAGATTACACTGATAAAACCCTAAAAACCTCAGAACTCCTTTTACTGGGGATTACTCCAAACAAAAATAAGAGTTAATATTTAAGAAATCTGAGGCATAGAAGAGAGACAATGTTTTGTCTGTGGGAAATGAATTATCTATTTATACAAGCTTCAAACTCAGGCAGTTCAAATACTTATCCACTGGACTGGTAGCACACTGGTGTAACAAGTCATGCAACTATTTGTAGATAGACATAAGAATCTATTATTAAGTTGACTTGCCAAAGAACACATTCAGAATTCTATTTTTAAAAATTCCCATCACACAAACCAGAAACTATTAATGTGTTTATGAATGTGTGCAAACTTACAGGATGCCTGCTCATCAAATGACTTAGAAACAGCCATTTCTAAATATCCTTCTGTTGATTTTTTTATTCCTGAATATGTGCATTCACCCTTTAGACACACTTTTAATGCTGAAGGTTCTTCCCAGCATCCTCATCACGTAACACTATTTTAAGAATTTTGGGTGATGTTTTGATCCAAGTGAGCTAAACTTTAAAAGGTAATATTGTGCCCTGAACAAGAAAATTAAGAAACACAGATCTCCTAAAATCAAAACTTGGTGGGTTTAAGCAGAGAGCATTCAGCCCAGGCAAAAATGTGTTTTCTGCATACGTGTTTTATCAGAATATTTTTAAACAAACTACTTTATGGAAAACAATCCATGGACTATGCAATTTCAATGGTATCTTAAATAGTGTATTCTTTATTGCAATTTCTCTGTGCAGAGCCACTGACTGACTTTACATAATCAACATCATCTAGAAGAGACAAAAACTTTTATGTCACTAAAACTTACTGCATTTCATTGCAGGAACAAGATGCAAGTGATTATACATTTTAGACTAAACCTTCTTACAGTCCATTTCAAGTCTGCCATATTGCGACACTTCACTGTTACAAACACCAGTTCTTAAATATGAGTTGATGGCAACTTACCTCAGAGGTCTGCCTCTGGGCTTCCTGGCAGAAGGCTAAGCTTCAACAGCAGCATTAAAATGTTAAATGAAAGCAAATTAAAACCAAGAATTGTTATTCCCATAGATCAATCAAAGAAACAGGTTTAAGTGCACATACTTAGAGGAACTAGAGTTCCTCAAAATAAATAACCCGTCCAACAGTTTTTTTGTGTCCAAGACAGCAGCACTGTAAAAATTATTCAGGGGAACTCAGAGCCACTGTTAGAGAACAAAGGACAATGTAAATGAGATGTTTAAGAAG